CCTACTTGCTGGCGGCGAGGAGGCGAGGGGGCCTGGGGCCAGGCGCGCGGCTCCCAGCTCCCTTTCCGACTCTTGCAAAGGAGCGAAACACGCCCCACGCCAGCCTCATCCCTTTCGACTTTTCCAACTGCCACTTTTAAGCTGTCATTAAAGACCTGGGGCGCTCCCCGAAGGTCCGGGGCAAGTCCGCGCCGGTCTAGCCAGCCCCAGGAAGGAGCGAAAAAGGAAGGTTTGGGAGGGGTGGGTGAGAGGGGAGACACGGGACGGGCGCTGGGAACCCCCGGAACCCCCCCCTACTTGCCCCGGCTGTCCCCGCCCTGCCCCGGAGCAAAGTGACACCCCTCCCTCCAGCGGGGCCCTCCGCCACCTAGGAGCGCAGGAGGCGCGGGTCCCTAAGGCCTGGCAGGGGCGGGAGGAAAAAGTGAACTTGGCTCTCGACCACCACTGTCGCCGCCACCATTCCGGCAATTCGGATACCCATCGCGCCCTCTCTCCACGTTTGCCAACCGCCTTTCGTTCGCCCTCCGGGTTGCGCAGCCTCCAGCGCGCGGGGGCGGGCACCTCGGAAACTGGAAAGGCAGCCAAAGAGCTCGCCGGGTCCCGCTTTCCCATAGGTGCGCCCCGCGCCCCGGTGCCACCCAGACCTGGGCTGTTCTCCCTGGCCGCGCAGCCAGCGCCGCCTCCGGAGCGCACAATGCATTCTGACTTTCTCCTCCTCGGGCTGCCCCAGTGTTCCCTGGCGCTCCGACGTGGCCAGCTCCGAGTCCTAGGGCCGAGGAGAGCCCCAAAGTGTGCCCGGGTGCCAGGCTGTCCTCCAGGGAGGGCGCCCCGGTGCCACCCAGACCTGGGCTGTTCTCCCTGGCCGCGCAGCCAGCGCCGCCTCCGGAGCGCACAATGCATTCTGACTTTCTCCTCCTCGGGCTGCCCCAGTGTTCCCTGGCGCTCCGACGTGGCCAGCTCCGAGTCCTAGGGCCGAGGAGAGCCCCAAAGTGTGCCCGGGTGCCAGGCTGTCCTCCAGGGAGGCCGCCTCGCCAGCTCCTCCAGAGTGACTTCGAGTTTGCCTCCAAGTGTGAACTCTGGGCCAGGGGGACGGCCCGTTTCCCCTTTCCTGGCCCTCCGTCTTGCCTTCAGGGCGGTTTATCATGTTACACATCAAAAGAAACCCATCCATCAATTTGTAATTTTGAAAAAGAAAGGAAGGGAGACTGGGACTGGGGCCACTCTGAGATCACAGTGGGAGCTGAAGTTGTTTTCCGCGTAGCGACCGCCGCTCGTCCTCACTGGCTTCCTAGGCCCTGGGCGCCGCGGAGCGTCGGGTAAGCAGTGCCAGGTGCGAAACAAGTTCCAGCAAGTTCCTGCCTCGCCGGCCCCCTCGGGCTCCTCGGGGAAACTCACACACACACACACACACACACACACACACACACACACACACAGAATCTGCCACCCCGCCCTGCTCTCCGCCCAGGCCCGTCCTACGGGGTGAGGGGCCTGGGTGTTGCATTTCTGGGACTTGTCCCCGAGGTGCAGCGGGATGAGTGGCCAGCTTTGTTCACAGCCCCCCAGCAATCGCCCCCCATGTGTAGAAAAATATAGACCCAGGGCGGTGAGCAGCTAAGTTATTGGCTGGCACACACGGACCCGCGCACGAGAGTGGGCACACACCAGTCGCACAGGGCTACTTCCGGGGTACTGGACCTTTGTCCCGGGATGCTCCCACGTTTTAGAGCCGCGGGACGCTCGGGCCGTGCGTTTCAGGGGTGCTGTGAACTCAGGTGGGCGCCAGGCAAGTTTCCGACCCGCGGCAGTCCTCCGGTGGTGCGCGGGGAACCGAGGGTCCGCGTTGGGATCCGGGCTTGGCCTGGGAATCCAGGCCTCCTCTTCAGCCCGGGAAGGAGCGACTCCCTGGGTCCCCCCACTTCTGCCGGCGCCTGAGCACCCCCCCCTTACACACCTCCCCTCTCTGCTGGGAGAGCTGCTTTGAATTGCATGCGGTTTGCCCGAGGCGGTGTGCTGGGGTTGGACGCTCCGGGAAACAAAGCAACCAAAAACAGCTCCCAGTTGACGTCAACTTATTTCCAGAAAAGAAAATAGTTCTGTGCTCCCAGGACTAAACATCCTCCAGGGCAGGTCTCTACTGGCAAAAGCCAGGGGAAGGAGGTGGGGAAGAGCAGAACTGAGAAACCCCAAGCGCAAACCACGTTTTAACGCACTGGAGAAAACAGCAGTTTCGGACCGCTGCCGGGTCAGTCTGCAAACAACAGGCAAGAACCGCGCTTAAATTAAACAGGAAAATCGCACTTGGGAAAGCATGCCTTGGCCTGACTGTGGGACGACCGTGGATCGGCTTCGATACATCAGCACATGTAACGCTACGAGAATCCCTGCCCGTGATGATATTTTATCCAGTACTGGGGGAAAAAAACTTACTTAGATTAGTAACTACCATAGTCACCAGGTGGAACATCCGCAAAAGCCAAGGAGATACACACGCTCCCCTTAATTCCCGCCAAGAAAGAAAGAAAAGTTGTTTGATTTTAAAAACGCAGTAACACAAAATTAGGTAGAGTTCATAAAGAAGTTCAATTCCAGGTTTAATAAGTGTTCCCTTAAAACCCGGTGGTTCCATACACTCAGTTTCAGATTGAAAGCATGGAGAAAGCTTTCTTATTATCTTTGTGGAGACAAGTTTGAATTTTGGTCTTTCAGGCCAGCTTCCATTTCCTCCTCCGGACTCCTGAGCATCCTCAGGTCCACTCAGCCCACCACTTACACCTGAAAGCTGCCCTCTTAGAAAGGATGCTTTATTTCTCGCGCAAGATGTGTGGGGCTTTTTCATTACAAAAATAATTCCAGTGTGATATGGAACATTAGTTACATTTATTTAACTGATGAAATTCTTCACTATGGGCTGCGTGGTTTACAACTTCAACGATGTGCCCCACACTTGTTGTTTCTTTAACCACCATAAAATACCACCTTGTATTTATGCTTCTCCGCTTCTCAGAATACTGGAAAGTAGTTACGTGCTTATTTGGGGAGGAAGACTACACGTTTCCCCCTCATTTTATAACCTATCTAGTATCATTTTGGGTTGAGAGAGACTGTGAAAGTTCACTCAATAGAAGTGTCTTCAAATATCTTAGTCTCATGTTTTTATTGTCCACATTAATTAAGACAGCCTTTTTAAAGGCAATCAGGGAACCCCTCCACACTCTTATGAAAATTTTCACATTCTTTGGCTCAAATTCTTTTGCTCCCGGTTTTCTGAGCATTTGTTATACACTGGGCATGGTTGCTTTTTATCTGCCTGTTTCCTCTGTTAAACCAATACACTTTTTTAGATGCATAGGACACATTGAGTAACCCAGTAATTGTTGAACAAATGATCTGTGTTTAGATAAAAATACATTTAGCAGGAAATACTTTGTGAAAAATCTAAACTATAAGCCAAAAATTCGACAATTCAAAATCAAGACAAAATTAACTAGAAGGCAACATTATTGCTGGCGAGACAGAGTGCATTTAATGACTGCTGTTGTTTAATAATTTCCTGTTATTAATTTTTTTCTCTTTGTTTCAGTATGCTGTAGAAAGTTATTACAACAGTAGAGTGAGAGAGCATTTTTTTTTCCTGCAACGAAGTTAAAAGTTGAGGCTTCTGAAGGCAGATCTGGAAAGGGAGGAGTTTGTATAGTAAGAGAGGTGGGTTGGAAAGGATTTAAATTCAAAGGCTCCTGTGGGCCTTGGCAAAGGCCAGAAAAAGCATTTAGTTAATCACTTTAAAGAAACAAATCAAAAGAGAAAGCCATACTCTCATGATTCTGCTACTAAACAATTCATGAAGTACTTTGGAGGTTAAATATAAATTCGAATTGAAGTTATTTTGACATATCTTTGTTTCAGTTTCACTACTAATTCTGATGAATTCAATTGAAGATCATCTTGAGTAATGTTTTTTGAACTCATGAAAATTGAACCCATGTAGTCTAACTCTACAAAGTAGGAAAAATGAAAACTCCACAAGGATAAAAGCTATGCCTTATTACTGGAACTCCTATTCATTTCTAATTCACTTCCTTGGCATATTTCAGTAGGGGGCTTGGCACATAGTAAGCACTCAGTAAACACACAATTATGCATAAGGACAGAAGTAACTTCAACAAAAGCCTGTATAGCCTAGTAGTTGAAAGTTTCTTCTCAGAAACCAGATTGTCTGGATTTGAATCCTAGTTTACTTTACCAAGTGCCTTTTTCTATGTCTCAGTTCTCTCATTATTATATTTTTTGGGGACATATAATAATATTCTCTACCTTATGGGGTTGTTTTAAGAATTAAATAATGTGTAAAGTACTTAACAGTGTCTGGAACATAAGTAAACATTTAACCATTAGCTATCATTTAGGAAGGCTCAGATATATCTCAAGCTTCATTATAAACAAAGAAACCAAGACCAAAGAGGTTTCAAGAGGTTAAACCCAGTGTTCAACTTTCCCAGAATTCCCCAGGGCAGGCAAGTTGGTTCCATAGCCTGAACTTCTGGGCCCTATTCAGCCTCTAGGAACCAAAGAATGCAAATGCAAAGAACAAAAATAAAAACAATAAACAGAGCAAAAAGGGAACAGGACACATCAAAGAAACAATTCCCTGCCGTGAAAATACCCCTGGGCATAACTTGATTTGGGAATCCTGGAAGACAGAATAGTCCTTAGCTGAGGCCTCTTGCTAGGAGCACAGCAGAAATGGGTTATGAAAAGTTGTAACCTTTGTCACCTAAACACTAGTACTATTTTCCTGGGGTGCTAGAAGTGGGGATCCATTTGTGTTTTAGAAAGAAATGATAATGAAGAATTTAGAGACAAAAGGAACACTCAGAAACCCAACCAGAGTAGAATGAACCACTTTCTTTTAAAATCCTGAGCTGCCCTATAGAAATCTATAGGCAAGGAGGATAGTACCAATTTTTTTTCTTATTTTATTTTTCCCTTTGTTTTTGTCAAAAAACAGGTCAGAGTAAACTTAACATAATAGTTGGCAGGAGTAGAATAGCTTCTAATTGCCCGCTGGTAAGTATAATTCTGGACATTTCTACCTAGTATTTACCTACCAGTTTCCGAGGTTCTTTTTAAAGACAAATAATGTACAAGAGGAATATAGTTTTGACCATAGGTAAATAGTGTATTTATGGAGCTTAAAAGTATGCTATCACCCTTTCTGGTCATATTTTGATAATGAGATTTCACTTGGTTAATTAAAAAATTCACGTGTAAATGTTGTCAAAGTTAAACCTAAAGTGAATAATGATAGTCATTTTCTCATCTTCTAATCGTATATCTTTAAAGGGTATATGGCATTGAAGTTTGTATTAGTCCTATTATTAAATAACATCTACTTTAATGGCATTGCAATACTAAAGGCAGAAAAGGAGTTTAAGGTATTTGTTAATATATCATACGACCATTGTGCATTTTTTAAGTAATGGAAGAGCTATTTACAATGGTTACAGAATATAAGAAATTCCTGAAACTA